GTTTTAGTCTAAACCAAACTTTTCACTACAAAAAGGCTATCAAACTACAATTTTCATTTCTAGATTTTACAATCCATTTTTTACTTTAATAAAAAATTCGCATTCCTGGTAAAAATAATTCTTTCTCAAAACTCTCTGATAAAAAATATATAGCCCTTACACCACATAATCCTTTACATTGAACTTAGAGACATCAGCTACCAAATCCCGTACAAAACTCTTCCGTAACTTTTGAAACATACAAACAGAACGTTTTCACAAACTTAACCAAAATTGGAAACTTAAACAACACAATTCTAACTTCAACATCATCACCCCAAGAAACCATACAAAACTAACTAAGATCAGGTCAGATACGAATTTCGAAGATGCAAATAACTCTACATTAGCTCAATCTTTTAAGTGAACTTACGGGATCTCCACAACCCACTTCTGTTCTCACTTTCTTAGCAACCCAACAACCAAAACAAACAATGCAGTAGAGCAAAAGAGCTAAAAATCAAAATAAAGAAACAAACATCATCAAGCATAAAGAGATATAGATATATACCAGCATGTTTGCGATCCTTAGGAAGTCCAGACTTGGCAAGAACTTCAAGATCAACAAGAATCATAGACATGAGTCCCAAAGTAAGGCCAGACATCAACCCAGAAACAAACAAAAAACACTATTATCACAATATGTATAAAGAAATTAGTCTCACAACAACTATACTCCACCGCCATTTTCCCCAAATCAAAAGAACACTCAATTTCACCCCAAAGTAATCTCTTTGATCCCAAGATATCTCTCAACTAATAACCAAAATGATGCGTATTAAGCAACAATGAACAAAAACATATGCCCAGAATGTTCAAGAAATTTAATATCATAAATAAATCAAAAAAGCATAAGTAGTTTAGCTTAACTATAATGTTGTCTGATCTGGGAAAGAGGTGCGGCAATCTTAGCACCAACAGAGAGCATATTTTTGCCAAGTGCAATGTCTATAAGGACAGTGGATTGCTGACTCGTTAAGTTTCCAGAAGCTGCGAGTTCTTGGTGATTGGAACAGCAATCAATATTCAGATCCAGTTCAAATTCCTATTAGTACTTAAGAGTTTCTATAGTTAAATTTTCATTTGGGATTTTGTGGATGAAAAAGGGAAAGCTTAAGGCAAAGCATTGAAGCAGAGGAAACTAAAAGAAAGGATTAATTTTATTATATATATAAAGAAAGGATTAAATTTCATTTAACACAAGACTCACCCTTTCGAAACAAACAGACAAGAACCTGTCTTTATTGATCTTTCATTGTAAGGGGAGATAAACCCACGTATTGGCCAGATTTCACCCAAACACAAACACACTCAACCCAAACAACTCTAAAGATCTACGTACAGGGAAAACTCAACCAGACAACAATATAAGTGTAAACAATGTTAATCTCACAAACAAAAATTAAAATACAAAATATTAACCATTCAAACAAAAAGAAAACACAAAATCTGTCAAAAAAAACAAAAACAAACACACAAATTAGGGGTTAGGGATTCATTACCAGCCGATGAGTGACGAACTGACTATTAATCAAAGATGGAGACACCGAGATAGGGAGTTGATTCAGTTGAACTTCAGACGAAGAAGAATGAGAGAGATTGAGATGCGGCCGCGATAAGGTTGCTGAGAATTGAGAGTGAGAAATCAGAGATGAGATGAGAGTGGAGATCAGAGATGACTGAGATGAGATGAGACTGAGAGAGTGAGAGGCGTGAGTGCATCTGTGGTGACTGTTGAGTGAATGGCGAAGGCGTGAAAAAAGTAGGGATTCAAAAAAATGAAAAAGTTCATTTCTGCAAATACGGGTGCCCGCGGGTTCACCCGTATAAACCGTTTGTTTTTGGGCCAGGTACGGGTACGGGTCTAAAAAACAGGTTTAATAAATTGGACCCATACCCTATATTATTTACCGGGTACGGTCAACCCGGGGGTCAGACCCGTTTTGCCAGGTCTACTCATCCATCATATCCTCATTGTATGTTTAAAACATTTACTTTAGGCCATTGCCTTATTTCTAAAAAAACATCCTAACCTTCCTGCCCCTAAGTTGATAAAAATCAAAAAAAAAAAAAAAAAAAAAAAAAAAAAAAAGAAAGCACAGTAGTCCACAAACTTCTACTCTCAAGCGACTGTAGGTTGAAAATAGAAAACCAGTGGCATAAGCTTACTTTTACGATGTCCAAACTCTTGTTTGCCACTTTAAAGAGCTTTTTTCTTCATTTTTTATTTTTATTATCTCAAAAAGGTTTCCGTAAATAAGTACGTGCTTTTTTTTTTTTTTTCTTATTTGTGTGTCTCTGCAATCAAATGGTAGAAGAGCCAAAGTTGCACTATGCGAACAATGGAACAACTCAACCACTTGATCTAAGAGAGCCTCACACAAAAGTATATGAGGATTCTGCATTTAAAGTTCATTCCATATGTTACCACATATTTGATATATGAACAAAAACCACAAGTCTATTCAATGAGGTTATACGCAAAACTTCTAACACAAAAAAAAAAAAAGTCTCAAAATGTCACATAAAACTATTAGCATACTAAAATACTACCAAACTCCTAAAATGAATAATCCATTCACTTTATAAAAGTGACAATTATCGCCAATAGACTTGTATGTAATGTCAAATTATCACAGAAGTACAGTGTACAAGAACAAAGTACCCTATGTCAAAATTTGAAAAACTATGCAAATGAATCAGCCAACTCAAAGACACAAAACAAAACCATGCTGTTAAAAATTACTACCACTGGGTGTATCTGAACCTTGTAAGAAGAACCAAATGGTTATGCAACAGCACGATGCAAGAATTTAAAGTTATGGAAATCAACTGAACCTCGAGAGTTTAACATAAAACAAAAACCTTAAGTTCCCAATCGCTTCAGTTTTGAAGAATAGGAAGAACACAAAATATCCACGGAATTGTCTTGCATTCAAACCACTGCCATGATCAGCCCAAGAAGATACCAAAATAGAAGGCAATTGCATTTGGAAAAGAAGCCAATATGTGAGCAGAAGAAAGGGTTACAACAGAATAGAGAGAAAACCTTCAGATTCAGAGAGCAGAGAGAGTTACGATAGAGCTCTAGGTCGCAGTGCTTCAGTTTCAGAGAGCGTCACTTTAGTTTTAGAGGAGAGAGAGCGTTACAACAGAATATGGGAGAAAAAGATACGCAACTTTTTGATATTTTTTTTTCAAAGTCAACTTCACTTGGCAACCATTCAGCACTAAACCCTAGATTTCAATTTTTTATTTTTTTATTTTTGCGGCTTGATGTAAATTAACCATATTACCCTTCTTCAAAACGGAAAACACTAACAGAATTTAATGGAGGGTGGGAAAATGTCATTTTGAAACTTGACGGGTGGGAAAGTGTCGTTCCGCCAAACCTTGGGGGTGAAAAAGTTGTTCTCCCTTTCGTATTGTAATAAGTTATAATTTTTTTAGATCTCGTCTTAAGGAACTTACCTCTATATAGTAATAATTATTTGTATATTACAAAAAAATATGGTATGTTATATTAAAAGTTTAAGATGAAATAAAATATTTATCTAAAGTTATTTTGGATAATGATTTATGCTTTAAAGTTGTTATCATATCTTGTATCTTGCGGATACGTAATAAGCCGTCAACATGGACACCTTCTTGTTGAAGCCAAAATATTTCTAGCTCTCAAGCATGATTACAGCTTCTTGGCATGAAATTTTTTGTATTTTCATTTTATCATTCTTAGGATTATCTTCTTCCTCTTCTTGTCTAATTCAAGAAAAATTTCTTCTTTAGTTAAAACATACATGACTTATTGCTCATTTAGATGATTGAGGAAGATATTAATATCCATTTAATTAGTATAGTAAAGTTTTCGAATCTGATCACTCAATTTTATAGTAACTCTTTAATATCAATTTCCGTACTATCTTAATACTACTAAAACAATGAATTAAAATCCTAATACTATTAAAACATGAATTATAAAGTAAGAAATCAAAATAATAATTCTTATAATTATATACTCCTTTTAGTAATAAATTTAATTGATCTCTTATTACTACAATGAGGTTATAATTTAATTGATCTCAACATTATAACTATAGAGAAGTTCTAATATATATATATATAATCGATGGGATGGCAGCATTCACTATCACAATAGTTGAGCACTTGAGTAATTTCTTCCCTTTCGACTATATATGTATCCTAGAAATATTGATAGAAAGTGATAGAAAAAGCTTTAATATATAAATTATAAAATTTTATATTCTAGCATTATTATAAAAACTACAAGATACATTAATTTATTTAGTGATTTTTACTAAACCAATGTAGGACTGTTCAAATATTGTCCGTCACTGCTTGGCATGGCTGGTGGGAAGATAAAGTGCTGACTCATTGTCATTTGGCCACATGCGTAAACATTTTATATAACTGTTTGAATTAAGATCACCCATGAATTGGCTAGCCAATAAAATTTAAGTTAGGTTAAGGTCCTAATCATGTTATTAAAAATATATATATCCTAACCAATAAAAGTTAAGGTAGATAAAAGTTAAGGTAGGTTAAGGTGGTATTCATGTTATTAGCAATATATAATAAAAATTGAAGGTAGGTAATTAAGATCCTAATTATGTTATTAACAATATAATATCCTAATAGAACTTAAAGAATAATTAATGTTTTGATTAATCTTGACGAATGACTTGTGACCAATCACTAGCCCATAGTAATATAAGATCGATTCATATAAACTAAATTAATAAGTTAAATTTTTAAATGGGAGCATTGGTCAATTAGAATAATATTATATATGAGAATTTTATAAATAAATTGACGTGATCATACAAAATGATTGGAACATTATATAATAAAACTTGCCATCTGAGCAACATATATAAGGACGCAAAATTCACAATCACAACACAAAACCATAAGCAATTCAATAGTACTTACAATCTCTGAGTATGGCTGAAGCAATTGTTTCTTTTGCCTTGGACCAGCTGGCTTCAATTCTTTCTCAACAGATTGGAAAACAAGTGAATCTAGTTGGGGATGTTGACGAACAAGTTGACAAGCTTACCCACAGTCTTCGAGCCATTCGGGCTGTGCTATTTGAAGAAGAGCAAAAACAAATGAAGGATGAAGCTGTCAGAGTTTGGTTAGATCGGCTCAAAGACGTATGTTATGACGTCGAAGATGTCTTGGATGAGTGGAACACTGCAATCATTAAATTGCAATTTGAGGGAGGTCATGATTCACATAACGCTCTTGCCCCTCAGAAGAAGGTACGTAGCTTCTTTCCCTTTCCATGCTTTGGCTTCAAAGAAGTTGTTTTACGTTGTGACATTGCAACCAAGATAAATGAAATAAATGAAAAACTAGATGCTGTTGCAACACAGAAAGATATGTATTCTCTTAACAAGATTCAAGTTGTTGAGAAACCTCATTATAAGCAAGTAGATACTACTTCTATTATTGATGTATCTAATATATGTGGTAGAGATGATGAGAAGAATTATTTAGTAAACAAGTTATTTTGTGAGAGTAGTGAACAAGGCCTCCAGATCATCTCACTAGTAGGGATGGGAGGAATTGGAAAAACAACTCTTGCACAACTTGCTTACAATGATAATGAGGTGATTAACAATTTTAATAAAAGGATCTGGGTGTGTGTATCAGATCCTTTTGATGAGTTTAGGGTCGCCAAAGCTATCCTTGAAGCTCTAGAAGGCACTCACTCTAATTTAGCAGAATTTAATTCTCTTATCGAAAAAATTTATGAATCTATCAAAGACAAGAAATTTCTTCTCGTCTTAGATGATGTGTGGACTGAAGATGATAGGAAATGGGAACTGTTCTATAATTGTTTAAAGAATGGCCTCCCTGGAAGTAGAATTATAATAACCACACGTAAGGAGTCAATAGCCCTTATGATTAATTCAAATATTATTAAGGTTGAACAATTGTCTGATAAGGAGAATTGGTTGTTGTTTGAAAGGATAGCATTTCGTGGAAGATCTCCTCAAGAATGTGAAAAATTAATAGAAGTTGGTAAAGAAATTGTAAGGAAGTGCAAGGGTTTGCCTCTTGCTACAAAGACTATTGGGAGTCTCTTGCGTTTTAAAAACACTAGAGAAGAATGGCAATACATCTTAGGTAGTGAGATGTGGAAACTACAAAAGATTGAAAAAGGTCTTTTATCCCCCTTAATGTTGAGTTATAATGATTTACCTCCAATGGTAAAATGGTGTTTCTTATATTGTTCCGTATTTCCAAAAGATCATATGATTGAGAGTGATGAATTGATTAATTTATGGATGGCTCAAGGTTATCTTGAGTTAGCAAAAGATGATGAGGAAAGGAAGATAACTGGTAAAGAGTATTTTGAGTTTTTAGTGACACGGTCTCTCTTGCAAGAGCATGAAAACACTAATAAAGTTAAATCTCTCTTTGGCCAAGAGCATGAAAACACTAAAATAGTTAAGATGCATGATATAGTGCATGATTTTGTGCAATTTTTTAGTAACAATGAATGTTTTGGTGTGGAAGTCCATGGTGTTGAAGACCCATTTACAAACTCTTCTCATGTCCAAGTTCGTCATTTAAAATTAATTCTTGATGGAGTGGCTTCACTTCCTGTATCTATTTTTAGATTCAAAAAGCTACGTAGTCTCTTAATTAGTGATAAATATATTTATGGTGGCAATTATTTGACTAGTGATGATTTGTCAAGGTTATTTGATGAATTTACATGTTTAAGGGCATTACAGTTAAGTGTTGAATCTAGAGTTGAAGTGCTCCCAAAAGAGATAGGAAAATTGATACATCTAAGGTATCTGAAATTGTCTAAACTATCTATAAAAATATTGCCTGAATGGTTGTGTGAATTATATAATTTACACACTTTAGATATTTGTGGATGTGAGGTTGAAGTATTACCTCAAGGGATGGAAAAATTAGTAAACTTGAGGTATTTGATATTAGATATTTTTGATTTTTCACTACTTTACATGCCGAAAGGGATTGAGAAATTAACCGGTCTTCGAAGATTAGATGAATTCGTTATAAGTGGTGGTGGTGATCATGATAACAAAGCATGTAGTCTCGATGGATTGAAAAACTTGAGTCATCTTAAAGGGAGGCTTACAGTAAGAGGGTTGGGAAATTTGACAAATGTAAGGGAAGGTGAAATGACAGAAGTATTTAATAATAAGAAAAACCTCTCTAAGTTGATATTAAGATTTGATAAACGTGAAGCAGGGGAGAGATCAGGTGAGGATGATGAACTAGTCCTTAAGGCCTCACAACCACCGCCAAATTTAAATGATTTGGTAATACAGGGCTACAGAGGCAACTCATTTCCCTCCAGTTGGATGACGTTAGCCAAATTGGAGGTGTTACGTCCTAGAGGTTGCTCCAACATAAAGCATTTGCATAATTTGGGAAAATCGCCATCCCTTGAATTACTATGTATAGATGGGATGAAAAATTTGAAAAAAGTGAATAATGAATTTTGGGGAATAGAAAGCGAGATGACATCATTATCTTCATCGTCTGTTCTCTTTCCCAGACTGAAAACACTCGAATTTTGGGACATGAAAAATTGGGAAGAGTGGGATTGCGAGAATATAAATATGGGAATGGAATTCATGCCATGTCTTGCTACCTTGTCTATTAATCTCTCCCCAAAATTAAAGGCACTGCCACATAGCCTTCTCTCAACCCTCAAGGACTTGGTCATTGATGAATGTCCTATTCTAACTGAACGATACAACAAAGGAACAGGCGAGGACTGGCTCAAGATCTCTCACATCCCCACGATCAAGTTTGATGGGCAATATGTGCAAAGAGAGCAATAACTATCAGCCCACAAGCCACAGGTAATTACTTAAGCTACGATCAAGTTTGATGGGCAATATGTGCAAAGTAGAATTATAAATAGTTTTTATTTCTAATCTGGACCAACAATACAATCTTTATCTTTTTTATTTCTAGTTTTTATAAAAATTATATATTAAATTTGCTGGGTATGATTAATTCTGCCCGATTTCCATCTTTATCTTCAAACCCAATCTTCATCTTCTCCCCGATCTTCATTCTTCTCAGTTCTCCCCCCCGTCTGCGATCTTTACTCTGGTTCGTCTAATCTGGGAACATAATAATCGATTTCTACTGGGTGAGTTTCTTCAGGCTCATGATGAAGTACATCATTATTTTTTTTTTTATTTGCTACGAAATTTCTTTATGGATTCAAGGATTTTTAACCGTCTGCGATTTTTTTTTTATTTGATTTCTGGTTGATTTGTTTTAGGGTATATAGTTTCGGGGTTGATTGGGTTTGTATAAGGATTTGTTTCCATTATGAGTTTGATTTCGTTTTGTGAGTAAATTAATTGTTTTTGTTGAAGTATATATTGTTCAGATTTTTAAGATATCAATTATCTATTGTATATTGTTCAGATTTTTGTATAAGGGCTTTTAAGATATTAATTATCATTATATATTGTTCAGATTTTTAATTTTTTTTTTGGTTAATGATTTTGATTTCGTTTTGTGGTTAAATTAATTGTTTCTGTTGAAGTATATTATAATTTGGGTGTTGAGTTGGTATGTCGAGGAAATTGATTCAATTGGTAGAAAATGGAAGGGGGAACAAGAAAAGTAAAAAAAATTCTCAAGACAATTTGCTAGAAAATAAAGAAAATTTGGTAGAGAATGCAAGGAAAACATGTAAAGTAAGGGTGTATTCTTTTATAGTTTTGTGTATCCGTCATAGAACCATTTGTAGGTATGCAGTTGCTTAATATCTTATATCAGGTGGTTGCTGTTTCAGTTTAATTATAATTTATACAAAACAGAACACTACTCTAGTTAGTCAAGAATTCTTTATTCCAATGCTTGTAAGTTGTAACATGTAATGCCTTCATGTAATACTTGAGTTTAAATTATCAGAACTCAACTCAACAATATTATACAGTCATAACCTTCATGCTGGTTTTATTAGGGTCAAATCTTTTACCATTTCCCAGACTTCTACTCTGAATTAATATCACAGGTCCACTCATAAGCATATGAGTGAATTAATCAGTTTCTGCTGTTGCTTATTGCTTATTGCTTTCTCTCTTTTTCGTGCTTATTGTTTCATTGTTTCTCACACAAAGGAGGCAAACTCACTGGCATTTCATCATGCTTTGTAGTGTTCATAGATTTTCAATAAATTTTATATTGAGGTTTCCCTGTATAATGCCCACAAAAGTGCATTGGCACACACATGGATCAATGATTTTGGTGAGAATTAGGATTAGTTTCATCATTATCAATATTGTTTATTTTAAATTTCTTTGAATTTGGTTGTGAATGGATCGGATGAAGGTTTGTTTCTGATGGATTGTTTTTTTTTTATAATTGAAACAGACTTTTTTTTATTTGCTGTCAAGCTTAGCTGGAGACCGGAGAGTGAAATGGGAGTTGATGTAATGAGAATTGGTATATTTCTTTATGAATTTTGATATTGAATTTGTAATCATCTATAAAGTTTGATTTTGCAATAGTTATTAAAGTTTGTAATTGAATTTTTTAGGTATTATGATTTATTTTTGGTATGCTGATGTCAGCATGATGAAGTCACCGACCCGACCCATTGGTCGGACTGGTTGAACTCTTCGGCCTGGGAACTGGCTGCGGGGCCTGGTCACTTTCCTGAGCTGATTTTCAGAACGTTGCTTACAATTTCGAAATTGAAGTTCAATGAGGTCATTTATTGAATATGTGTCACTATTTCTACAGCCTCAAAAGAAATTTCCATTACGGATTCCCAAGTATGCAATGAAACATTAGAGGAGATAGCACAATGTGACCAGCTGGAGAAGAGAAGACGATTTACAATTACATGTTTCCTTATTGTTATGTGTTTCAGCTCTGCTTTGTCTTTCCATGTAAGCTCTTCCTTTTATTTATTATTATTACTATTATTTTGGAGATAAAGGTCTTTGGAAAGTTTAATATTCATCCGAAACTGACATTCTTAAATTTGTATCAGGATCAATCATGTGGTTTGTTAAGGAGCTTCTCCGTTTGCTTGAACTTCACTCTGTAAAATCCTTTTATGGCTCATTGAGGTTTGAGAGAATGGTTGGATATGACCAGCTATAGAAGAGAAGAGGATTTTCAATGACATTCTTCACTTGTCTTGCCTGTCTGAGTTTTGGTTGGTTTTCTTCAAAGTCCCTCTTTTCTTATCTATCTTGCTTTTGTCATAATGTCTTCTGAAAGTTTTAGAGTAATCATCTTCATCAATTAAAATTTCAATTGTGTCATGTCTATGTTTCTTTAGCAATTGGATGCTGCTCCCAAGTTAAATGCACTACAAGGTGGCCTTTTCCAGAAGACAATACTTGATATATCAGTGATAATTCATAAATGTCTTATTCCTGAAGCAGATACCTACACCAAATTGATGGTCGTACTCGTACCTGCTAGGAAGCCCAAATTGAATTATAAATTTGACATCAGCTACCAGCAACCCACAAGCCACAGGTGATTTTTTATCATGCTTTTTCAGTTTTTGTATTTCTAATCTAGAACTAGATAACATTTTGTATCAAATTGTATGTGGTGCTATTGTCTCAAATGTGCAACATGGTTTTTGAATTTATATTCAAATTTCTGAAATATAGATTCGAAATTGAACTTCAATATGCTAAAATATATACATGCAACAGGTTTCTTTAGAAATCCTCTCTGCTTTTGATTTGTGAAAGCATTAATCTTGGTAATATATTGGTCAATGGAAGATTATATAGTTGTTGAGTTATCCATTTTGCATTACTCAAGATTTCGATGCTAAGAATCATGAATCTGTGTTTCAGGGTTATAGTTTTTTCATTGGGGCAAAGAAATTTATCTAAATGGCTATAATGCATTGTTGTCTACAAGATAGAGAATAGCAGAATGTGATCAGTTGGAGAAGAGAAGAGGATTTGCAGTAATGCTTTTCATTTCTATAATTGGTATGACCTCTGTTTTGATTTTTCAGCTAGGCATGCAATGATTATCTTCAGAAATCCTTTCTGCTTTTGATATATTAAAAAAAATCCAGGTAATAGATTGACCAGAAGAATTTTATATAGTCTATAATTTATCCATATTTTGCGTAACTCAAGAATCCAGATGTCAATGCTAATAATCATGAATCAACGTTACAGCTTAGAGTTTTTCAAATGGGCAAAGGAATTTAATTTTCGAAGTGGCTATAATGCTTTTTGATGTATAGGACAGAGAATAGCAGAATTTGATCAACTGGGGGAAGAGAGGAGGACTTACAATGACATCTTTCATTTTCTGCATTAGGTCTCCGTTTTATCTTGATTATGTCCTTTAGAAGTTTGGCAATCATTACAAAATAACAACCTTAGTTTTCTATCACGTTTAGCAATTAAGGTTGGAAAAGATTTTCAGCCTATTCAAAAGCAGTTACATCGGAGAAGTTTTGCCTTAATGAACTTGACGCTTTGAAATGTTGGATCGATTATGCAACATGTTAGGGAGCTTCTTCATTTTGCTTTAAATTGGCTCTGTGAGATCTTTTTATGACTCATTTGGGTTTCTTATGCTTATGTGGATATTGGAAAGGGCTTTTTATTTCTTATCAAGAAAACGTAACATCCATGTTTTAGTTTTGATGCAGTGACCGAGTTTAATGTATCATAAATATTTTTGAAGAAATCAAAAGATTATAAGATGAGATATGACAGGAGCTCTTATCATGCTGGAGAAGATTGACAGAGGCAATCAGCGTCGAAATATATAGCATAACATCTCCTTACTTCTTAAAGGTTGTAACCTGTTTTTTTAAGTGCTATTGTTAATATTAAGGGTGGAACTTTGTATTCAAAGTTTCAATTTCCAGTTCCAAAACAAATACTTCTTGTCTCACTGCAGTTTTTTTCATTAAAATATAGGTGGAGGGTGACTATGCGACCAACCAGAGGAAGAAGAAGGAGTCATTCTAAATGACTTTACTCAGAAATGTAGAATGATCACGTGAAGTTGCTAGAAAGGAACAATATTGTGTTTTTACACCAAAGATCAAATTGGTTAGTTATGCTTGGTAACTTCTCTCCATTTTTTCTTCATTGGTTTATGTTTAATCAAAAATGCTATTACAAAATATCTGGTTGATTATCCTGTGTTTCTTCACGCTCAGTTGATTTGCTACTAAGGCTATCTATGCTGAGAATATATTACTCTGTTACTGATCAGCAGAGAAAATACTCAATAACTCAATGTCTAGGTTTCACATTTGCTTTGTGGGCTTCCTCAAATTTATATTTGTATTTCCTTCATGCTTTGTATCTTGAAAATAAATTGTTACTGACAGACAATAGGCATTATCTTACGAGTATATAACATTTTTTCCACCAATGTTGCTGAAAAGAACATGTGATTGGGGAAGGATTTATGCTTCACACACAGAATATCTTTAATCCAATCTAATAGTTTTTATTCATGTCACAGTTTTCTTTTAGTATTAAGTGGTCATCCAATGATGCACTGTGGTGACAAGTCCAGCATCATGGTAGGCAGGAGCATGCCAGACTGTTGGAGATCCCATATCGACTAGGCACACTCAAGCCAATGGGTTTATAAGAGTGGGCAATCCTCCCACTCAATAAGGCCTTTTGGGTAAGGAGTTAGGCCCAACTCCAACAGTGGTATCAGAGCCAGCCCCATGTGAGCTGAGTGATTGACCAGCGGTGGGCTGCCAAACTACCTCCATTCATAGGCAAGTGGACCATATGGGCTTGACCGTGAGGGGGAGTGTTGGAGATCCCATATCGACTAGGCACACTCAAGCCAA